AATCAGTAAATATACTTAGAGGTTGACTTCACCATATCATAGGCTGGAGTCTAAAGACGGAGAAGTAGTTGAACAAACTCCTCTCACACAGATTTCACATTTTTCATGTTCAGCATTAAAAAAATTTAATGACAACACAATTGACTTCAGTTCGCTCCCGTCATAGCCACTGTTTAAGTTAGGAGTGTGTAATTGATGCCTGTGAAATTATACTGTAGCTGCTTTTCCCCCACAACTTACTGTATAATTAGACCTGGTGGATTAAGTTTAGGAAAATGAAGTGTTCCAAGTAGGACTGAAGTCACAGCCCAGTAAACCTTGTTTTAGATGAGTGCGTTTAACAATTTCTAACATCGTGAAACCATGGAAATAGCAGGCGCTGTATTAGAGATGTTTACCCTCATGGTCAAGTTTAAATAATATTTTTTAAATTGTTAATAAAAAAAGAGAACATTTTCGCATTTAAAACAGGACTTTGAATGAGTCTAAATACCATTACGTGTGTGATTTTATTTATTTTCTTCTGGTGCGGTTACATTGGGCAGACTGCTGGTTGCTGAGGTATCAACCACCGCTGATGTAATGTTTCTGTGGATGTAATTGTTCAGGCCAAAGCACAGTTCTACCTGCGCACTCACACGGCTGATGAGAGTAAGAACGAGTACGCGGCTCAGCTACAGAACTTCAACGCAGAGCAGTGGAAACATTTCAACAACGCCATACCACACATCTTCAAGGTAAACCCAGCAGCTTCACATCCATGTGTTTATTTTCTTGTAGGTATTTCAATTGTCGTTTTTCTGACTTTTCGTCGACATAAATAATAACCTCTTTTTGAAGTGCAAGAATTGCAGGGACCCCTCCTCTGCTGTAGAACTACTAAGATCAAGCTCGTCTGCCTTTCTAAGTTATCTTAGAATTTTGACACCTGGAGCTCGTGGTGGTACTTGCTGCACCAGGAATTCAAATCAAAAAAAAGCTCCAGAGCATTAATGCAAACCCACCGCACGAGGTCAAGGTGACGACACTGGAAGAGCGTGTGAAGTTACTCCCTTGCAGGAATAAAATTCACTTCAAGAATGGCTGCAATTTTTTTTTGGACACAGTGCTGCCAAAGCTAAACTAGCAACCCCCACGTTAACATGAAAAAAATACTTCTCCCGAATACTTCTGCATTGCCAGCTACAGCAGTTGCTCGAGGTAATGATGCAGCGTCTGGAATTAGAATTATTCTTTATTTATTTACATAATAGAATATTTCTTTTCAGTCAATATTTATCAGTCATTTTTAAAGACATGTTTTTAGCCTGCTCCAGTATCAAGGCGTATGATTAGCTATTTATGAGTCAGAGAGGGAGCATTAAACAATATGTACTTTAATAACATTCCATTGAACAATTTTCTTATTGTGTTGATGAAGTATGTTGCCCACACACGTTGCTATCATCCAATCACCCTTTCCTAGGCAGTATTCTGATTGGCTGAATGAATAATGCAGCTGTAATGTAAATAGCTTGTGCAACAGTCTGCTGGAGGACAGAAATGAATCTGGGCTGTAAGGAAAGATGGAGTCCGATGATCAAACTCTTTTGCAAATACAACGTCAAGGATATGTTTAAAATACTCTCAGTATTTATAAAAAGGAGCTGAAAGCTCTTCTAATACCAGATCTTTAATGTTTTGAAGTAGCATGCCAACAAAGCACTAATGTTTACTTGCTTTGGCTCTCACTTAATCCAAGATCATGTTTGGACAAAGTGTGTGCCCGGTTAAGTGCCCCATCAGATGTTTAACTTAGCGGCTGATCTCATGTAAACCATCACTGTTCTGCTGACTGGGTGTCGGTGCTGTCCAGTGAAAGGATCTGCAAACTCTGACAAGTTGTTTACCCACCAAAAGGCTAAGTGTCTGTAGGAGCGCTGCGGTGTTTGCCTTGTTGCTAGTGCTTCTTTCACTTCTTCTCCTCTGTGTTACAGAATCTGCAGGACATGGACGAGCGTCGGACGGTGAAGCTCGGAGAGACGTATCGAAGCTTTGCAGAGGCAGAGCGGAGAGTCATTCCCATTGTCTCCAAATGTCTAGAAGGAATGGTTTCTGCTGCCAAAGCTGTAGATGAGCGACGGGTATGTAGTGGAAGGAAGAAAAGAGAACACAGTTATCATAAGCACCTTAACAAAATTGTTCTGAACAATTCAGCTGGTGCCCAGTGTTATACAGAGATACGGCAACCCATTTTTTCTTTATTCTCTCCTCCCTCTCAACTGTGTTCTGTCTTCCCCTCTTCCCAGGATTCAACCATAGTTGTGGAGTCTTTTAAGTCAGGCTTTGACCCCCCAGGCGACTTCCCCTTCGAGGACTTTAGTCAGAATTTGAGCAGAACAGGTTCAGACGGGACCATCAGCAACACGCCCAAAGGAGACAGAGACAGAGACAGAGACAGAGATGGAGCCCCGGGGTCACGGTCCGACCCGAAACACGCCATAAGCAAAACCAAGAACAAGCTGTGGCTGTTTGGGAAGAAACCAAAGGTACGAGGAGTGATGCATGCATGTTGTAACTTTCAAAATAACCACCCATATTCATCACATGCACCCGTGACTTTGTACCATCAACATTAGAACTGTAAATATCAATTATACAAGTTAAAATATCTTATTTCTCTTAAGATGTGCGCACGATCTGAAAAGGCTTGGAATATTCCCTGGCTGTAAATTAGAATTTCTTTATAAATTTTTTTGGGGGGCTTTTCCGCCTTTACTGATAGTGACAGTTAAGATAGACAGAGAAACGTGGGGAGGAGAGCGGGGGAATGACATGCAGCAAATGAGCCGCTGGCTGGAATCGAACTGCGGCCGCTGCGTCGGGGATTAAAGCCCCTGGACATGGGTCGCCCGCCCTACCCGCCGAGCTATCCGGGCGCCCCACACAAATAAACTTTTAAACAGGGGAAAGTCAATTGAAAATAAGTGGGATCAATGTACTTAAGTGGTAGTAATTATTTATTTTACATAAAGTTAGACTAAGCTGGAAAATTGTACTGCATTTATCATGAATGTGATATTATCTTGCAACTGCTGCCTAAAAGCGATCTATCTTAAAATAGTCAGAGGATGCTTCATAAATGTGGCTGTGATGTACCAATGTTCTTTATATGTTCTTGCAAACTGCATTTTTACAGAATTGAAGCTCCCTCAGGAGTCTCTTGAACGCACTATAGATATAGTTTATTTCCATACTCAGTTCAGTGTAAATTCAAGTGCCACTAGTTCTCCAATTTTTGCAAACTTACCGTAGTTAGTGTTACAGTCACGTAACATAATAAATTCAGCCCCCTGTTTTTCTCACGGATTCACTTTGTACATATCGCTAATGTTGAGTCGTAAGTTTTTATCACCTTTCCACTGTTTGTAATAACAACCCTCCCAAACCCTTCCTCCGACGCACTCCGTGGACCTTGCCCCTCTCAATAAAGACGGTGTTGGTCAATCATTAACCTTCTGCTGTTACGTTGCCGTCATCGGCTGCCTCACACTATCAGGAACCTGGGTGATGATTAGGGTGTGTGTTTGTGTACATGGACTGCTTTAATCGTTCAATACTCAGCACCCTAAAATTTCACAGGCATGCTTCACACAAGTTGGAATTTTAAAGCCCATGAAGATGAATGTGTTCCTATGATATTAAAATAGTTTTAATTAGATAAGCAGCAGTCAAAGCTTTAAAACATGTGACCATTGTGTGTTTTGACCAGATTTGATTGACCAGATGTACAAAACTTCACTTCTTTTTTATCCGAGCTTCATCCCCTTCAAACCAGTTGAAGATCACTTGTACAAATCTGTAATTGGATCTGTTCCTGCAGGCTTGGGGGCAACGTTGAGGAATCTTAACTGAGTTGCTTTTGAAGTTTTTCACCTTCCACTTGTCCTGTGTGACCATGACTGACTCTCCTCCCCAGAGCTAAAAACCATCATCAAAGCAGAAAAACTTGAGCAGTACAACACAAATCCACACTTAAGTGTCATCCTGACCTCTGGCTTTGTCCTCTCTTCCTGCTCCCCACCAGTCCCCTTCCTCCTCTCCTCCTCCACCACCTTCCTCCTCCCGTCCCCGGCCCACTTCCCACCTTTTCCCTCCTCCTCGGTTCAGCTCCGACCTTGTGAGCCACTATCTGTCTGAGATAAAGACTACAGTACCCAGAATCCCCCAGAATTTGAAGGGCCTCAGGAGAGGGGTGAGACAGGAAGAATCACTATAGTGTGTTTGATTCAGACAAGCTGTTGTGATCTAGTTTTTTAAAATATTTTCTATGGGATGTCTGCAGGTCAGAACATACTTTAAAATATCTTAAATTAACATAAATGTAGAAAATGTTCTGTTTTAGACTTACATTTAAGCCATCTCCAAGGGGAAATTAGTCAAAAAAACTTCAGTGCTCATTTTGACTAATACATAAAATAATTTGAATTTGACTTGAGAAACTTGCAGACAACCTGTAGCATTGTTTCTTCCACTAATTTCTCCTTTTCCTGTTCTTGTGTCATTAGTTTTTCTTTGATTCTTTTCCTCCTTTTCTTCTTGAGACAGAATTTTGCTCCAATCACAAGATGGAGGATCCTTGGTGATTGATGGTGTGTTGGTGTTTGAGGGGTTTGGAGTTTGTTTGGCATTATGTTTGCAGTGTTGTTGTGTGGGGGGAGTCTGCAGTGACGTGTGGCTCCACTAACAGCGTCACTGAGCTGTGAAACAGAGCTTTCTGCTTTCAGACAGTTTAACACAAACCTGTAAATATCAGTCGCCGTCGTGCAAAGCCAGAGCGTGTACTGGGTTTCCATCAGTTCTGTCTGCACCATCTGTGACTCGCTGCTTCTCGTGTCATGTACTGATCCAGTCAAGTTTCCATCAGAAGAACAGGCGGGGGAACAAGTTGACCGTAAATGTTTCTCACTGGTTATGGAAAATGATCCAACTTAGAGAGATGTTCTCCAGACAGGGAGTCAGTGAGTCAATCGTGTAGGAAGTCTGTTAAAATTGTCCCGTGGAGCTCCTGTAAACAAACAGATGTCACTTTGCAAAAGACAATTTGAATCCATGTCATTGGGCTCTATTGGCTATTTTCTGCTAATTCTATTTAATTTTTTTTAACTGACAAGACAGTTATTGTGAAATTACAGACACGAACCAGCAGATTAATCCATAGTGACAGTAAACTCAGATTTTAACCCCAGCGTTGTTTACCTCCATGTTTGCTAGCTTGAAGTGGCCTCAGTGCCTTTTACAGCCAGATTGCAGCTTTCGTTTGCACGTTACTGCCACCAGCTGTCCATAATCAATATGACATGAAACCAGCAGCAGGACGATGTGGCAAATGCAGCTCATTCGTGCACACAATACCCCAAAATTGAACTCATACATCCATACTTTATCTGTCCTAGCGGTCAAGAACCCTGCAGAATACTGTGAAATCACAATATAGAGATTTCACAGAAATGTACAGCAAATAAAAGGAATGGGAGAATGCATTTTTAATTTCTACCACTTATTCACCAATTCAGATGTTGTTGTTTGTCAACCCATCTGTTTTTTCCTCTGAGTTTTCCCTAAGGTATTTTCATTAATCAGCAGAAAGTCAGATTTTTATTCTCACAAAAAGTGGATTAGCTCAAAGTTACTTTTACAGAAGCAGGAGTGCTCCGACTCTTCACAAGAATAGTTCCGTCAGTACTGATGAAAGCAGATGAAATGCTTCTAGTAAGCATTAACTGATATTTGTTGTGGCCTCATGGCACATGAAGAGCCACTTTTGATTTTGTCATGACCTTCTGGCCTCACTGGGAACAAAAAGTGTGACTGGTTTTGGGACAACTGTACTGACAACTAACTGGCATCCAATTTTGTTTTCTTTTTCCTTTTCTTTTCTTTTGCTGTAATGGTTAATTCTTAACGTCTCAGTGGTCAGTGAAGATGGTAAGTGAGTTTGTGTGAGTGTGCAGACTAGTGATAGGAAGATCCAGCAACATAGGCACCAATGCATGTTTCCTCCCCCTGTAGGACTTCCCCTACTGTCCCATACACTGTACAAAGCCTGTAGTGAAGTTAACTACTGCCCTTTTCTAGGTAGAATAGATTTTTTTTGCTGTGTGTCAAAGGAAAGAGGAACAGGTGCTAAAGTAGCATTTCACTACCTGCTGTTGTCAGCTGTTGTACTGTACACTGTCTAAGAAGGTGTTTACACACTCACCAGCTATTTTACTAGGTACCTGTGTAATGTAATACAATCCAAGGCAACAGCTCTGCTTTAAATTCTACTTTTCTGAAGCTTCTACACTGACAATTCTACTTGTTTGTGGTGGAGGCTGTAGACGTTGGTGACGACTACATTACGTTTAAACGTGTTGCTGTTATTTTGTCCACCCCATTTGCCTCTTGGAGAAATTCATTTTCAAATGAAATGCAGTCGAGGACACTTTCACCTACTCTGACTGAAGTAATATACTACAATTATCACCTTTTGACAAAATCCACTGAAGCTAAAGAGGTAGATGCTTTATAAAAGTCCAATTTATGGCTGAGCTGTAGCTTTGGATTGCACTAGATCTCACAGATGAACCTGTCCAGGGAGGATAAACTGTTTTCTATTCCAATGTTAATTATTGTTTAGCCCCAGTTATGATTAGAAATAGTTTTTGTCTTGGAATTGCTAAAACAATCCCACCACAGCAGCTGTTTCCAGGATCTCAAATTCACTTTTAAGCCAACACAAAGTCCTTCAAAGATGTAGAAAAACTAGAAAAATTCCATGTCAACTGAATACATTTATTCTGAGCTCATATGTTCACACACTCCAGAACAGCTGCTCATAGACAGCTGTGGTGAATTTGATTCCAAGGTCATGTCTCAAAGTGTTTAGTCAGTTTTAAATATGTGACATGTTAACATTTAAACCATCCTAGTGAGAATGTAGCTCCGCCTGTCTTCAACGCGCTATTCTGTCATTTGAGTTCAGCAGCTACATGTTGGTTTGAGTTGCTTATTTTTAAACTATAACTTTCAAACTACACAAACCAGATCAATCTGCAGCATCTAAACCTTCTAACAGCTGTGTTCTAACAGCTGTGATCGCTCTCTGGCATCGCTGACTGAGGTGACATAAAGCTTGCTAAGTCTACAATGAAGCTGAGTGCTGTTTCTCTTCACTAGGCGCCTTCTCTGGAGGATTTCAGCCACTTGCCTCCTGAGCAGAGGAGGAAGAGGCTGCAGCAGAGGATTGATGAACTCAGCAAAGAACTCCAGAAAGAGATGGATCAAAGGTAAGACACTAACTGACACATCCTTCCCCAGTCCAAACCATGAATATTCAGGGGAATCAAGACAGCTTAGTCTGGTTGTTAGAAGTCTTTAAGTTGAAATATCTCATTCTTCCAATGGGTTTCTTTAATCTGATCTGAGCGCCAGCCTTGATTTAACAGCTTCAAATCACTAGCAGAGATTTCCAGCGGGATGTTGCAATGTAGCTGTGTTGAATAACGGACAGCTAGGATCAGCGAGGAGGACTTCAAATACCTGTAGCACAGTGTGGAGCTGCTAGTGTGGTTGCTTAACATTACTCTGCTCCATCAGCTTCAGTCACTGTTTGTGTGTTTCTGTCAGAGACGCCCTGAACAAGATGAAGGATGTGTACGAGAAGAATCCTCAGATGGGAGACCCCAACAGCCTGCAGCCTAAAATATCGGAGACCATTTGTAACATGGAGAAGCTACGCTCTGAAATCCATAAAAACGAGGTAAAGACAGTCGAGGTCAGGTGGATTGGAGTCAGTTTCACTACTGTTGGTGCATACAGCTTTTGGGTCGTTTTTTGGGTGACGGCACCGACTCCTTTGTGTGTAGATGATGGTGGTTTCAATCAAAACATACCAATTCAATCTCTTTGTCTCTGTTGACAGACTTGGTTATCTGAGGTGGAGGGAAAGCAGAGTTCCAGAGGAGACAGAAGACACAGCGCCGACAACCACCATCACACTCCTCAAGGCAGAGAGAGGTAAAAACGCCTTCGTAAAACAATAGAAAGACACATTAGACACAGGGAGAAGGAGGCTCGCTGCTACATCGCTGCTACATGGGGCGGCTGTGGCTCAGGTGGTAGAGCGGGTTGTCCTCTAATCGCAAGGTTGGCGGTTCGATCCCCAGTCCACAGTCGAAGTGTCCTTGGGCAAGACACTGAACCCGAAGTTGCTCCCAATGGCAGGCTAGCGCCTTGCATGGCAGCTCTGTCGCCATTGGTGTGTGAATGTGTGTGTGAATGGGTGAATGAGAAACATTGTAAAGCGCTTTGAGTGCCGCAAAGGTAGAAAAGCGCTATATAAGTGCAGACCATTTACCATTTACCATTTACATCTGAACATTAGGTAGTAATGGATAATATCTGCCAAGGCTGCAGTAATCACATTATGGAGGCTTTTTGTGACATAGTTTGACATTTCTAGGATCTCGTAGAGGCATGAAAAGGTCAGAGTGAAGCTCAGAGAGGACAAGAAGGGCCACTTGAAATAATCCTTGAAATTTGCATGCGACACACGTGCATCCTTGGAAAGTCCGAAATTTGTTTATGCAAAATAAGGCCATTGTACGAGGCCTAAAAAGTGCCATCAACATGGGAAATGAGATTTAGTTTCAGTTTCTTAATCTACTTTCACTAATTTCTGTGGACATAATCTAAAAATATCTGAAATGAACCTGTTGTACAACTGTAGATGTATCAAGAAAATATGATTGGCTCCATTGAAAGCAAATAAACAAGAACATTTTGCACTTACGAATATTTCATTTGGATCAGTTGTGTCAACAAATATATTTATTTTGTGTTTTTTCACACATGTATTTTGTTTAAATATATGTTCTTTATTTATTGCTTGAATTCTTTGTGCAACAGCAAACATCCAGCTTTTTAGGGTGAACATAGCACTTGGTTGAAAATCAAACAAAACACAAACAAGAATACTCATTTTGCAAAAGTATGGTCTTTAACTTCATTGAATTGATCTTAAAAAGTCCTAATCTCATGTGTGTTTCAGTCCTGAGGGCAGTTACACAGACGACACCAGTCAGGAGCATCACACGCCTCACCACCGCTCCACTCCTGCACAGCCCGGACCGCCCAACCCCGACCCGCATGAGTTCGACGATGAATTTGATGATGACGACCCGCTGCCTGCCATCGGACACTGCAAAGCGCTGTATTCATTTGACGGTGAGAACGCCTGTTGGACAGTCTTTTAGAAGACACAGTCTTAAATGACTTATTAAAGACTCCTGAGGTGGGGAAATAATGACATGCGACAGAGCAAACTGTAAGTCAGGATTGTTTTGTGGCTGACTTGTCTTCCTGGTTACCAGATGAGCAGGATGTTGACATAAGCTGATGAGATTACATCCCACATGTCACCAGCATCTTGGATTTTTCTGTGTTAAGCCGATTATTTTGATCATTGATAAGAGATTATGTTTACGTATTAACTACATGCACAAACATAAAAATTGAAGAATTGGCTTTGACAAGGTTAAACTGCATGCTTTTGTTTCACTTTTAGGTCAGAACGAAGGGACACTGGTGATGGCGGAAGATGAGGTAATGCTCTTTTTTTTAACCTAAGTGTTATTTGATTAATCATTTGTTCGAGTTTCGTTGAAAGTTTGGTTTTAAACTGTATGGTTTGAAAATCTGTCTATCACCATTCACAGCAGAAGGGGAAAAAAGTAGTCCATGCTTGCTGTAGTTTTAGAAGTTAAGCCTCTTAAAGCTGAGGTAGGCAGTATTAAGCATTTTATAGCAATTTTAAGCATATTGCAATTCAAATTGTGCAAGAGGCAACTAGACCACTGCACTTCCTCTTGTCTCGGTTTTTAAGTTCAGAAAATCATGTAGCAAATCATAGGGCTTATTACCCAAAAGAAGTCAGACAGTATCAATGAAAACAAAGCCCACAGAGGGTGCAAAATGGATGGTGCAACTTTTACTTGGCAGAATGGGATTTGAATCCTAGTTAAAGCTGCAAATAAGCACAACTTTTCGTCTCAAAAGTCGATTAAGGCAATTTTTAATTGATCTGTAATACCTAAGCCTGATCCTTTAACGGCCACTGCCACACATGTTTAATAATAGAATATCTTTCTTCATATTAACTGATAATAGAAGTTAAGCATAGTTTATTTCTGTCGTGCACTGATATGCAGACACATGATATGGGAACCAAAGCAGCCGTCACATATGCCACTGGGATGTATGAATGATGATCCCTGCTTCAAACTTTGTGGTTTGAAGTGTGAGCTTGTGTTTGGGGAAGCCGGTATATTTTTACATTTCTGGCTTTTTAGCCTTTTCCACATTTCTGCCCACTGCAACTTTATGTGACATTTTGTTGAGAACACATCCTGGCAACTGACGTCTCATCACTTAATATGCAATTAGCCACACGAGCGTTTATCCAGATTATATCTCAAAAACTATTTCAGAAATTGGTAGAAAGTTTTATACGCACTTTGATGAACTCCTGACATTTACTCATTAAATTGACATTAAATTGATTTTATTCTGTATTTGATTTCTGACAAAACAACTGCAGACCAAAACACATGTACCTCAGCCTCAGTCGGGCTTTGTGTTCATTAGAAAATGTATTGAAAAGTGTTGAACATTCCTTCTAAACATCAGCATTTACCTCAAAGCATCTTCGTCCTTGAGTGTTGTGTCACAGAGCTAATCGCCCATTACCCACAAATTAATTGCACTAATTAAATAATCTCCTGTCTTCAGGTGTTGTACATCATCGAGGAGGATAAAGGTGACGGTTGGACTCGGGCGAGAAAGCAGAGCGGGGAGGAGGGCTACGTTCCCACCTCCTACGTAGAAATCACCCTGGAGAAAAACAGCAAAGGTGCTGTGACCTACATCTGAAGCTGCACTGTCCTCTGTCTGTCATTTTCTCCATTTCCTCACAACATAACACCACAAAAGGAAAAAAAAAGACAGCATCTGAACATCTGCATGGACATGTGTCGTCTGTTTCTGTTCTGGTTTCCATCCCATCTCTTTATCCTTCTGTCTGTTTATTCCTTCAAACCCTGTAACCATTCGTTTCATATCTGTGGGACTGATGTTTTCGAGGTGAGTGTCTGAGCACAAAGACAAATAGGAAAAACCTATTTGAGGGTGTTTGAGTAATTTGCGTTTTGTATATCAGGTATTTCTGTGTGTGTGTGCATGTGTGTGAAGCATGTGTCTGCTGCTGTTTTAAGCGATTTTTTTTAAAGCTACACCACTTGTCATTAATCAAAGCATTCAAGTAACAAGTAATATATTAGAACAAACTTTTTTTTTATTTGATCTGTTCTTTTAATTATTTTAATGCTTCCTTTTCTAAGTGGAGATCGTCAAACTCCCTGATTTTTAAGCTCTCTATCAACATAATATGAAGTGAAATATGTTCTGATTGCATCCGTCTCTGTCTGATTGCAGTGTGTGTGTTTATGCACATTTTTTCTCCTATCTGTGCCATCACGTTGGAATTTTGTTTGGATGCAGCTGCAGCAATGCCATCCAATATCACCGGAAAACATCAGGAGATAAACTTCACATATTGCTTTTCCTTCTCTAGAAAAGATGGAGTTGGGCTCACATAGTCCTCGTAATATTGTATTATTCACTGACTGCACTGGACACTTGATGGACAAAGCTGGCATCATTTGTGTTCTCATCACTTTCAACAATGTCCAGAAAAACCAACATCCCAAGTCTATTGGTTTCCAAACCAAGTAGCTGGTCAGTGTAGTCTGTTTTCATCTGTGTATTAAAGGGACACTCCAGCACAAGCTGAGAGACTTTTAAGGAACAGATTGTAAAAACAGAAATCAAAGCTACTTTTAAGCTGTTTTGTTAGTCCCCAATCTCAGCTGCAGCTGAGCAGAAAATGTTGCATTTTAGAGGCAGCAGGACTATGTTTGTAGGACAAACTCAATTAGAACAAAAGATAACACAGCAACGTGGCTTTTAGTTTGTTTTTGATAATTATGGCGCTATTTGAAATGAAGCGATAAGATATACGAGGCATTGATACACAAACAAAGCGTGTTAGTACGGTCAGTGCATTGGCTGTTTTGATCTTTTTGTGGGATTTGCTGGCAGGAGGAAACAGGAGAATATCACCTGCTTCATCCTTTAACTAAGAATGCTTGAGAAATTCTTCCATAGACGCCTAGTCATGCTTTGAAAGAAAACAAAGTTAGGAAGCGCTCAATAAAAGTAAAATGTCAGGATTATTTGATGTTTTCTTGCAGTCGTACTGACACTGAGTCACTGATTATCAGCAGTTCTGACCGTTAATTTCCATTAATATCAATGATAATAACAAAAGCTGCACTTCCAGTATTTTCTAGTACCTGTGCCAGCTGAATGTAGTCATGTTTGCAGGCAGCAGCATGTAGCACAAATAAGGGTGTAGCATGTTGATGGCAGCTAAACCCTGAGTGACTGTGCAGAGCAGAGACTTCCCACCATGTCTGTCATGTTATCAGTTCTTGCGCTATTTCCAGGAAAACGTTTTGAAGGTAAAGGCTGCCAAATGTGACAGAAGTTAGCAAATTACAGCACAACAAAGTCAAAGCCTTCTACAGAAACTGCTCAGCCATTGCCACACTGACTCTAAACAACATTTCGACATTTAATGGATTCATTCTGTGCTGGATTGACAAAATGATTTAAAAACGCCTGCGTTGGGCCCAGTGTTGAGTAGTTGGTATGTAACTTGGCCACAGGTGTCCAGTCTTCTTCATAATATGTGATCCAGACAAAATAAATATAGATAGGATGTTCCTGGCAGTTGTCTTCTAATGACTTTAGCAGACAGAGGTTTCAGAATACCTTACATGCTCTGGATCCATTTGTCTTCCACTTGCACTCAGTGAATCAGCAGAACAGAAAGTGAATCTGTCCCACCGTAAACTTTACCCCAGAAAGCTCTTCTGTGATGTGTATGAGTGTGTGTGTCTCGGTGTGTTTTAGTAGTAACCGTCTCTCTCCTCTATGTGACTGCAGGTTCCTGAGGGCTGCAGAGTGGCCGGGCGATTTGATTGGCTGGTGGAGGGCTCACGCTGATTGCTGATTATTTGGTGGTGGGGGTGACCAAGAAAGAGAGAGAGAGTGAGAGAGAGAGGGAGGTGGAAGGTAGAGAGAAGGAAAGAGATGAAGCGAGCTGCGAGGGAGGTTTGCATGTCTGCATGCTCACACATCCATAATCAGCAAAGCATTCTGGGAGACGAGAGGAAAGAAGGGAGCGATGAAGGTAGAAGAGATGATATCAAAGCTTTAACACACCTAACCCTCTGAACCCCAAACAGTTTCTGGATGTTTTTTGGTCTTGTCACATTTTTCCTCACTGTGAGCTCATCGTTCCCTGTTTACATGCGGCTCTACCTACTATTCATGTTGTTTATTTTTACATACATTGTCTGTTTTCTGCTCTGTGTAAGCACAGCCTGCAGTTCAGCCAAAGAGTCACCAGATTTGTGTTGCGTGACTGTCACAGAATTATTAGTTCTATTTACAGAATCTGGTGCAAACCGTTAATTTTCAGAGATTTTTTTTTCAAATGACACATGTAAAAGACGCCGATATTGATGAAATGTCACAAATTTAAGCATAGATTTGATTAATATTTTGTGAGAGAACTACATGTCAGACATAATTAGCTGGAAAGTTGAAAATCCAATGATTGGTTCTGCTTTTCCAGTTTCTGGCTTTGATAAATGGTGTAATTTTGGTGTTGGGTTTCAGAGGGTTAATGTCATCAAGTAAGATCCTGATTTGTATTCAGAGAAGTCCAACCCTGAACTGTGGGACAGTTTGTACTAAAAGCAGCAGCAGAAGAAGAAAAGAGCTTTCAGTTCAGCGAGTCACAACTGCAGCAGCTAAACAGCATTACTTGCAGTTTATTAGGTACAGAAGCTAAAACTAATGCAGACAAATCCAACAGCTCTGCAATAAATTCCATCTGCATAAAGGTTGGACTGTTCAGTTTTCCAGAGAGGAGTCCATGTCATTTGTGGAGCCTGTTTTTATCAGCAGCACCACAAACTACATCTCCCAAAATCATCCTGAACAGTTTCAGTAAAAACTGAACGTGCAGGTAGGATTTATTGGAGCACGTTGGGTTACAAAGCATGAGGCTACGTTCACATTCCAGGCTTTAATGCAAAATTTTCTGCTTTTCTTGTATTGATGGTTCTTGTTTGCAGCCATGTAAAAACTGCTGAGGTTCTAAAACCGTTATGCATGTGCATGTTTTACCAGACAAAGCTGCTAGGATACACGTCCAGCATTATTTAACAAGAAACTCCTTCCAGTTTGGCTCGAATCAAAGCTTCTCCATAAAAGTTTGAACTTCCTCATCTTTTTGTTGAACCCTGAAGATGATGATGGTTTAAATACCTTAAACCTGTATTTGTTTCTAGCAGCCAGCAGGGGGCGACTCCTCTGGTTGCAGAAAGAGGTCAGAGTGTACAGAAATCCATTGAAGTATTTCTCACTTGATTTTTTTTCCCCACCTCAGTAAACATTTTCCTAATAAGTTCATGGTCTCAATCACTAGTTCCACAACTTTTTGAATACAGCACGATGTTCACTTAGGAAGTTATGCTTCCCTTTAGAGTTAAATAGACAGTAAAGTAGGGCATGTTTTGTGGCAGGGTTACTTTTTGATTGAGTTCTTGAACTGTAGTAGTCAACAAACCAATGTCTAAAGTCGATGCCACTCCATCATGTAATGTGAACGTAGCTTTAGTTTTGGCTAGATGTAGCTAATAAGCTGGTCATTTAGTTTACACCCTGCAGGTTCTACCACAATCACACACTTGTGTCCAGTTTCAAGTAGCATGAGCAGCAGTGGCAGAAAAAAAGGGAGAACCCGTGGTATTTCACAATCAACCTCCTCCTCTGCTGCTGGGCTGGAAGAGGAAGCTGCAGGCAGCGTTTGACTGAAATGCAAACAAGCTGCAACTTAGGGCTTTACTTTCTTTAGGGACTTCTGTGAATGGCTGTTTAGAAGCAAATTATATCACATCAACTGACGATATTCTAAACCTGCTACAACATACATGTACTTCAAGGTTGCAGCACCAGGTTTTGCTCTCTGACGTGGTGTGAATTGATCCTTATATGCTGGATAGGAGCATCTCACCCAACTAACAGGATAACTTCTAAGTTCTGTTTGTCTCCTCTGCAGCAGCTGGGCAGATTGTCTGGAGGGAAGGTCTTGTGAAGTGGCTACCATTCAATTTATTTTTCATTTAAAGCTTTCACAGGCTATCAGATACGAACACAGCTGAGGAAGGTGCACTGACCTGCAAGTAAGGATGTCAGCTTGCATCTTGGAGCTGTCTTTTAGTGACATATTCTCCATTTTCACAACTTCTGCATCAAATATCGAAATGTTACACCACTCAATTTATTCACTCGCTATATTTCCTAAAACACACACTTTCTGCCCAGCCTTGTGCTGCACATGAGAGAAAGCCAGCAGCCTTTAAACTCAGCATCAGGGTGTATCATCTCTCAGGGTCGGCTCCTCTCACTGTTTGCTGCCACTAACATTGTCAGTGCTCCAACTCACCCTTGTCCTTCTCCTCTGTGCTCTGTTGGTGATGTCTGCCTGCCTGCGCCACTCTGCTCCTCATGCCTGCCTCCACCCTCATACAGTCGCATGTTTTTAACTCGTCACAAACATGATGGGGTCCGTCATCCATGAAGCGCGTGCATCTCCGGCCGTGTCGTGTGTCGAATGCTGTGTCGTTGTTCTAATGAAGTTCCGGCATGAGTGTGATTTATTTATGTTTGTCTCTTAGAGCTACTCAGATAGCAGGACTATCAGGGGAATACAGGACCTCTCCTCCTCCTCCTCCTCCTTTCCTCCTCCTCTTTCTTTTCTTTTCTTCTCGGGTTGTGATTCCAGCAATCGACCAGCAGATGGCGTCCTTCCTTCACCAAAACGCAGCTCCATCCGAACTGGACCACTTTTAAACAAAAAAAAGAAAAGAGGAGCTCTGTTCTTGTTGCAGTTAAGACTCTGCCTTAAAACTCCACGTTGTTCTACCGTGGAGGGGTTTTTTTTGTTTTTTTTTTTCCTCACACATACCTGAGTGTGTCTGCTCTTCCGCCTGACTACATCTCCCATCAGCCACCTGGGCTCACCCCTCACCTCCACAGGGGGACTCTCAACTGCGTCTCCGTGAAAAGGTTTTCTATGTAATCAGTTGTATTTGCGAATGTGACGACACGCACCCATGTAACCTGCAACATGTACGGAAGACCAAACACGCCAAAATTCATGCGTCGGTTGTTTGATTTTCCGCACACATCAACAAATAAACGTGTGCACATGTGCGCTCGTTACATGTGTGACGTTAGTTTTTACCATTGAATGATTTGTACATATTAACATCTGTTGTCATGCTGAATGTGTTTCCATGGTGATTGTTTTTAGGTTTGTTTGTTTGACCCTCTTCGTGAGAGACAACAAGGTTTGAATTGAACCGATGCACTTTGCCCTGATTTGAATCTGATTAAATGAAAGAGTGAATGAATGAACGGATGAATCGAGGTCTGTGGCGTCTGCTGAGAGACGTCTGAACTTTCCGAATGACCACTGTGTCGTAGCGAGAAACAAAAAAAAACGGTTGAGTAATTTTTCTTGTTAATGGTTTTATACTCTTTTTCTAACTTTTCTTGCATGATTTTCTAGATTCTTTGGATTCATTCATCTCTCTGGTGATTGTTTTTAAGCCGCTCACTGTATCTGTTTTGTAGACTAACAAACAAAATTACACAGCTAGACTATTTAACAATAATAAATTAAAAAAAAAAAAAAGCCACTAACGATTCTTCATATCAAACTAATCCAACAGCAGGTGGCCGCGCCTTAGTTGTAATCGGTGTTTCTTCGATGAAGCTGTGAAATGTGCAGAACGATGCTGTAAATGTTGTTACTTGAACTTTTCTTTTCCTCTTCAAGTCACAGCTTCCATCTGTGACCACTTTGGCGGTCGGCAAGAGTTAGGCGTTTTTGAAAAAAACAAAAAGGAACCGTTTGTTTTTACACTTTTGGTTAAATCTGTTTCCCAATCTTCATGCTAAGCTAAGCTAAATGGCTTCTGCTTTAGCATACAGATGTGATAATAGTATCAACAGATATTTCCCAATACATCCTGAAGCTATTCCTGTCAGATTCCCTCCATACTGAGTGAGTGCGTTTCATTTGCTTGGGCGCAAATGAAAGAAACCCATTAGTTTCTGCAGCCAGATGTTGTATTTAAAGACGATGCCTTTTAGACAAGCACAAAAATTCATCAATTCTTTTTGCTTTTTTTATATATATGTATGATGCCACGGTTTTCCAAACGAGGGCCAGCTACAGTCGGATGCTTACGACTCGCTAAACAAAGCTAGAATGACGTATTTTCTGGCCTTCTTTTGAAAGCTGTGATATCAGATTAATGCCTCGTTTCCACAGAGCTCTATTCAAATGCGGGTCAACTGGAAGTTTCTTTCTATAGTAGGCCAGTAATCTGATGTATTTATTTAACTTTTCAGTCCACAACTTCTCTCGAGTATGTTGAAAAAGTTGTAAAATACCTGGATGTCAGAGGTTAAAAAAAAAAAAACCTGTTCAAGGAAACTGGAGAACAAATGAGGTGACGGAGCGGTCAGTCGGTTGACTGTGTTTGCAGACATTGTGTGTATGTATAATTTTAAAAGTAACTAGTTAAGCTAGTTTAACATGTTCTAGCTGTGTGACATATATTAAGGGTTTAATGCAACTGGCTTCACACCCGCAGAACGACCGCCTCACTTCTTTCTTCCCATGAATCACTGGGCCTGGTTTGGCTCCACGTGCATTCTTTGTAAAACAGGTTGGCAAAAACTGCTAAAAGTAGCCTAGCTTAATCCAGCCATTAAAAAACATGCATTTCATTGGGTTGAACACAAGGTGGCGTGGTCTGTATATTATGTAGAATTAAGAAATCCAAACAAAACTGTGTGGAAACAAGGCGTTCGATTATTTGGTTCTAGTGGTAATGCAGTCATACCATTAAAGCCAACTCCCATTTTAAAGCATTTAGGACTGCTGCTACTAGATTGTCATTGCTAATTAGTTATTTTATGACTGTTAAGTCTATAAAAAATATTTAAAAGTGACTTATTAAAAAAAAAAAAAGTTTGTCTTCCAGATGCTGGTTCTGTTAAACAAACCGTCCAAAACCCAAAGATATTCAGCTTTCAGTGATGTAGTGAAAAGCAGGTCATTCTCGCAAGCAGGAACAAATGAATGTTTGGGCTTTTTGCTTGATAAAGTCGATAACTTGACAGTTTCAGCACCGACACTAAAACTCTGCTTCGTGTTGTAATTTGAAATGTGCGCTCAGACAGGATTCGTTCATGTCGCAGAGGAGATAAACCTCCGACAGAGTTTCTTATCCTAGCTGAACATTTATGCAGGGCATTGTTTTTACCTCGAGTATATCATGCAAACGCTTAAATAGATGGTCTTCTCCAAATTCTCCTTTCAAAATGTCCTGTTCAGTTTGCATGAAAGGTCCATTTGGAGTGTACTGTCCCTTTAATCAAATGAGCAAAACACACCAAAAGTCCTGTCATTTTTTAAAATCAATAATCTACATATAAAACTGTGCGTATTCTAATGGCCGCTGTGCTGTAACTCCAAATATCAGTGCAAAACTACAAAATAGTAAATGAGCTTTGAGATGCAACAGTAAATATGATAAAACGTGCAGTAAGTTCTTGTACAGACAGTGTTTTACTGAAGCCTACTGTGAGCGTGGTGCTGTTTTACCGCCCAGCAAAAACCAGACGTGTTCTTCTCCACATTCCTCTTCTTTTAAAAAAAAAAACAACAAAAAAAAAACTCATCATCACTCGCATCCTGTGGAAACTTTGTACCCAACAACCATGTAAAGATATTTAATCTTTTCTTCTTTTTTTTTTTTTATCAGAAAAGACAAACCACAGCAGGTACAAGGTGTTTTAGCAGGATATTAACATGTAAATCTGTGTTTTTACCATGTTGTAACCAATGGCAGTACTTCTCTCTCCATATTGTTGTGCACATCTTTTTACTTTGAATGTTGTCCGACACTTTGTGAACAAAATGCTTTTTTTTTTTTCTTCTTCTTTCAAAATATTGTTCTAATAAAATAAGCAGCAATGGAAAAAAAATGGATTTGTGTCTTAAAGTTACTGAAAGCAGAAAGGTGAAGAGTTTATGTTCAGATATGACCTCTGAGGCAACAGTTTGTGTGAAATTAACACTTTGGCTTCTGAGAAACACGAAGCACCGGCACAAGTCAGATGATCCTTGTACGCACTGACTGTATGAACAGTTCACTCTCTGCACACCGAAACCCACCGGCCGTTCTGAAAGGCATGCATTCTTTAAAAAGAAAATAATAATCACCAAAATTACACCATTTGCCAGAGCCGGAAATTGGAAGAACAAAGAATTCTGAGATTTCCAGCTTCCCAACAGTCCACAAACATAGTCGTCCTCAAATGTATTCATACCCTTCCATTAAAGAAAAGGCAAAATTCATAGTAGTCACTCAAATAACTAAAAACTGAAATAAGTAATAATAAATAAAAAATTTCCTAAATTCTAATTTTGTGTAATAAGACATTGCTTTTGAATTGTGGTTGAAAAGAATAATTAAAAAAAAAATAAATTCCCGGACAAATTAAATATAATTTTACAAATTAAAGATAATATTTCTGTTGAACCACAATTCACAAACAATGTCATGATTTTCATTACATTTTCATTTATTATTACTTTTGTTAATTTTAACTTATTTCAGTGACAGCTGTTTGTTTTTTTCCTTCTTTAATGGGAGGGTATGAATACATTAGAGGACAACTGTATGTGTGATGGAAAAATCACCCAAATATGCTTAAAATCAGCATATATTGTCAAAAGAATCACTTTATCCTGCAGTCTCTTTGGAAAATCCACCCCCCAAAAAGTGCAAAGAACAGAAGGTTCTGTGTTTCCTGGCCCGACTGATGAGCCGTTAGTGACTCAGTAACAGTGACGTGGCAAAAAATTCTGCTTATTCGGCTGAACTGCAGGCAGCGTTCAAACAAAACAGATAGGAAGAGACTGAGAGAAAAACAAAACATACTGTATTGAAAATATTAAATGCAGCATGGCTTAAAAATGCAAAAAAATTACAAATTCTGAGTTAGTAGAGGTTGTAATAATCACGGAGCATGTCAAGTGCTTTTGTAACACCTGTCGGCAGGTAGGAAAATGTTGTATCTGTTGATTCCATTTAATTTTTTCTTCCAATAATCGTAAAAAAACAAACAAATTCAACTTTTGTGTTTGTCTTTAGGGTTTCCGGCACTATATACACTTTTTCACTACTTCTAGAATGAAACTTTGACTTCATACTTGTGAATTCGTAACCTTCTGACTCTGCAACACATCCGGTGAGTTAAAAAGCCAGTCGACACCCTCAGATCATATATCATATTTATTAAATCTTACCACAGTAGTTCATAATAATATAAACATAATAAAATTCTCCAACATCTTTTTTTTGTTTGTTTTTTTTACAGTCTTCTACAGAAAGTATGTACAGTCTATTATCAACATGCTTCCAATATGTACAGCTTTAGTCTGGTGTTAACATATTTCAGTGATTTGGTGTTTCTCTACAGACACTTGTTGCTACGTGTTCACACACAGAAGGTTTGGATCAGATTTTCCGCTCCGGTGAAAATGTAGTAAAATAGTATTTAGCGTGGATTTTATGTGTCACCTGCTGATTTAAAGAAAAAAAAAAAGCCCTGCTGCTAATATTTAAAAAAGTATTTATATAGTTGTTTATCTGAACTGTTTGACTTTTTTTGCTGCTTGATGATCCAGCAACAACCTGAACACGTGCTTTTGTGTCCAACGTCAAGTAGCTCGATAATTCAATATAACGTTAAATACATTAATTCTGAGGAAAGAGGAATCAGGGTATGCCGACGTCTTTAAAACAACACTCTGATACTTGACTCCTACTGTAGTAGTCAGTAGACGGAGAGCTATTTACTGTTTTTCTCCTTTTGCCTTGTCAAAAGAATTGTCGATAAACTAGAAAAGAAAGTCAGCAGCAGCAACGTTTCCCTTTAGGTCTCTGCTGCCAGCTCTGCTCCAACACAAATACCTCTCACTGCACTTTAACAGGAGAGGCTAGTTTAGTTCAGGTCAGGCTGCATTCAAACCGTTATTTTTCCATTTTTATACTTATCTGATCTCAGCAACGTAAGCCTTCGAGTAAAACAAAACAATGAGCACATTTGTCACAGTAAAACAGCAAACGTTACCTTAGTTATTGTAGAGCAGACTTCACACAATGTGAATCAGACTCATTAAAACCTTTAAACCTGAATCATCCAATATCATCACCAAGTTCAACACAACCATCAGACTGAGTCGTGGCGTACATCCCCTGTGCCTACATGTGTAACATCGGTGGTGTATGAGGAGGATACCAGCGCTGTGGTGCAGAAAATAGTGTATAATAAAATAAAAAAAGAACACAGTGTTGACATGTTTTGTCTGGCTGCCTTCTCAGTGTTGATGTGTGTTGTTTCTGAAGGTTCTCATTGTTTAACTTGACAGTGAAACAGTTTATCTGTGATCTTGTCATCCTGACTGTCCGTCCTGACACTCTGCTCTGATGTCTTCTCTGTGCAGACGATATCTTCTGCATGTCTGGTCATCAGGTTCCTGCCTTATTTTTTTCTTCCTTCTGTTCTCAGTCCTAGACCAGACAGTGGTTGTATGCTGTCATCTGTGTGCTGACGCTGTGATATTTGGCTTCATGAACAGAACTGAGCTGAGACTGAGCCGGGACTCGAGCTAAGCTGATTTCTCTTGCAACAGATGCAGTGACATATTAACTGATGAAAACGAGCAGACTGTGATGAGGCTGTAGCTCGCGTTGTGTCAGAGGACATTTACATGAAGTCGAACTTTTCCCCGCGGTGCTGCTGGGAGCCTTCCCAGTCTGCAGCAGTGAATGTCGCTGTCCCAGTTTTGGAGTGTTTTGTTGGTTCACTCGTGGTGCCTTCAGTGACTCCTGCTGCAGCGGATGATGTGCTTGATGTTGAAATGTATCCTGATCACTCTCCTTTAATTCACAGCAGCTTCCTGATCCACCTGATGTTTCTTTCTGCTTTGTTCGACATGAGTGTTTGCTTTGATAGAGTCAGATTAAGGTTTGTGTTTTAGGTGGGGGCTCCAGTTTCCGTGACAACGCAGTGAGAATGAGGTTGAATTTGTTGTAGCGATCTGATTGGTTGACCGCAGCGCCGCGGCTTCCCCACAGAAGCCGCAGCTGAAAGTCCGTCTTGAACACTTCGAGCAGGTCGTCGTCGCACTGAAACCCTGAAGACCAAACACACACACACACACACACACACACGTGTTAGGAAGCTGTGACGTCTCTGGCTCTTGTTTAGATGTGAATGTTGTTGTCTTTACCTTGTAAGATGGCCTGTGCGTGGTCGGTGTAGCTCTGTGCGTTGTGCGCGACGCTGCGTGCGGCCTCCAGGTGGCGCAGCATGATGTCGCAGCCCTGGTCGCTGGTCTCCCAGAGCTCCGCCCCCTCAGGTGTGATTGACGGACGCTCCATCAAGGTGAGGAGGGGCAGCAGGAGGGGGACGCAGACCACTGCTGGAGAGGAGGCTGCAGGAGAGAGAGGAGAGGGGAGACTTCAATTAGCTGAGCAGACAGACTAATAACTGAGGAAGGAAAAAGAAAAACACTTTTTTAAATTTCTTCTTCTATCTTTGACAACACCAACAGTTCAGGAATGTTAGAGTTAACACATTATTGTAGCTTGAAATTTAGGAAATAAACATTAAATCTTAAAAAAAAAATAAAAAAATCTAACATAAAACTTTAAAGACTTTACAATTCATTTTTTAATTACAGTTCCACTAGTTTATTTATTTATTTGAATCATAAGAGTTCCACATGAAAAAAGCAGCAGCAAAATACAGTGTTAATTTAAAAAAAAAAAAAATTCTCCTCCTGTTTTCAACATGTTTGGAACAATCAAGTATTGTCACCAGTTAAATGTGATACCGTGTCGGTTTTGTCCGTCAGAACATCCATAAGCAACACACTCGTCTGGTTTTTCTACTAACTAGTGATGTTCGATACCACTGATTTCCTTTCCAAACAAAGGACATATATGTAATAAATGCCACAATAATTGCACAAGTTTGTCAATATCTACATTTTAAAATATTCATTTAACAGTTAAAACAAATGAGACTGATTGTAAATAATAACAGATATGTTCTATGGATAAAATGTTATTTTTTATCCATCTTTTCTAGTACATATTTTTTTAAGATCACCATGGCTGTTTAATCACAATTGACACCTAGTGTAAGTAATCCACTTGAAATGATCAATTCTTTAGGAAACCTTACCTGAATACATCTAGATTTCTTTTTCTATGAGATCATCTCAGTGATACACATATTATTACTCATGGCTGAACTCGTGCAGCTATTTGTATTCATTTCGTTACTTATTTCATAATCATATTTATTCATTTGAACAACAAAGCTCCACATGTCCTCCCTCTATACCTGGATAGTGCTGCCTGCAGCACCCAAGGACTCCTCCAGAGACGTCTGCCGCTGCATTATGTACTTACCCAGGCGGAAGAAAAAGTAGTTCCCACCAACCACGAGTAATTTAGTCAAGATCTCAATTGTTCAGTTACTTTCCTCAAATGACTGAGGTATCAAAAGTATCGATGTTTTGATTTGAGAATCGATTTTGCAGCATAAAGATCTGGTATCGGAAGTATCAATATTTCATTATCGATCCACATATCACTACTACTAACTCACAGCCTGATGAGGAACCTCCGTGTCTGTATATTTGCTATTTAACAATCATCCATGCAGCTTGGATCAATCTGTTATAGTGCTGTGACATGAGGATCAGTGTGGTGCTGCTCTTCTTACCTGAGCCTTCATACAGATTCTTGTAGAAAGGTTTCAGTACTTTCTCGTAGTTGATGGCCGTCTGGGTGAAGTTCCTCCGTAGAGTCGTCCATGTTTCCTCCAAACGGCTGATCTGCAAAATCAACAACAGGCGTCAACTCAAAGTGTCTCCCAATACCGTTGAACCACACACACACACACACACACTTATATAATGTAGCAGCACGTTTAAAACAATGAGATTTCATAGAGAATTCAGAAGAAACATTTCTAGGAAGATTTAGTTTTTACACTTTTGATAATAAATGATTTATTACTGACTATATCAGTATAACTTTAAAGCAGGAGTTATTTTATGCTAAAGGTGAGTTTAATTCAGTCTGACATATTTTTTAAAATTATTTTTTAATGTATTTTTAATTTAGAATTTTTAATTTATTGCTGTACATAATCTGCTGCGTATACCCACTCACATTTTTCTGTGTTTTTTTTTTCCTTTCTTGTGTTGTTTTTCTTTCTCTTGCTCATTTTTAATCTGTCGCTCTTTTGCCCACCTAATCCCATCCATCTATTATCTATACACCGCTTAATCCTCACTAGGGTCACAGGGGGCCCTATCCCAGCTGACTTAGGGCGAAGGCAGGAGACACCCTGGACAGGTCGCCAGTCTATCACAGGGCCACACTTAGAGACAGACAACCAAGCACACTCACATTCACACCTACGGACAATTTAGAATCACCAATTAACCTCAACATGTTTTTGGACTGTGTGGGAGGAAGCCAGAGAATCCGGAGAGAACCCATGCTGCACGGGGAGAACATGCAAACTCCACGCAGAAAAATTCCCAAGTGTCCTCACTGGGACGCGAACCGGCAACCTTGCTGTGAGGCAACCACTGCTCCACCTTGCAGCCTCCACCTAATCCCCTCATGGATAAAAAAAGTTTTTTTCTGATTCTGATATTTCTGTCTTATGATGCTACTGCGGTTTGCATATCTCTGTTACCTGCGGCAGGTCCAGAGCTTTCATCAGAGCAGTGAAAGCGAACAGGTCTCCCACTGTGTCCTTCAGCTCCATCGCAACCAGGATGATGCGATTCAGAGTGGACGCCCGCTCCTCCACGCTGCCCGTACATCCCAGAATATCCACAGCAACGCCTATCGCCATGGTGTGGTGCCTGGGAGACGAAGGGAGAGGTGGATTATCAGCACCACCCAAAAGCAACCGTGTGTGTTTTACCGTCGCTCTCTCAGCTTCTATTCTGACTGTTCAGTGCTGCTCTGGTCGTTTGACCACAGACGTGACTATGAGTATAAGTGACAGTACAGCCAACATGTACACTATGTTTACTAGACAGGACAGTGCAGTCAACCAGTGCCTATAGTCGTCCACACATTTATTCATACCCTCCCACTAAAGAAGGAAAAAAACAGCGGTCACTGAAATAAGTTGAAATTGACAAAAGTAATAAGAAATAAAAATTTAATGAACATCATGACATTGCTTTTGAATTGTGGTTCAATAGAAATATTTATAAAAAAACAACAACAACAAAAAACAAGCACAGAAGCATGATGGGACCCATAAACTAACATTTTGTTGAACAACCCCTTGAGCCAATCACTGCAATCAAGTGTTTTCTGTAACTCTCAGTCCGACCATTTATTCCTCCTTAATCATCAACCCCTCAGCCTGATCTTGGGACACCTCAGTGGGTTCTGACTCCTAGACTGGATTTAACTCAAACAGGTTTTCGCATCGCCATAGAAACTGAACCCTGTCAGTAAGCTGGGATTCTTGAAAGAGTGGTGTGACAACACTGCACTTCTCATTTAAAATAGAACTCTTTACTCTTTTCTCTACCTCAGTGCATGATCCTGTCACCTGTCCTCTACATCTACCACACTGATGAGAGGCAGCAGCTGATGTACAGTAGCAACAGCTTCACATTTAAAATTATTCTGATTTTCACTTTGTATTTTTTGCCTCATTTATGAGGGTAAATCTATTGGTAAGTTTTGCTCTTTTGTGTTAATGCATAAAGTTTTGTTTTTGGTTTTTTTCCCCCCAAAAAAACAGTAAAGTGCCAAATTTTACGTATTATTACAATAGTTTTTGGGCGTTTGTGGAAATAGCCTCTTGCCAAGAGTTACATTAGACTGATACAGCTCTCATGTCTGTGTGATACATAGTTAGCTTAGCATAATGAATGTAAACAAAGGTAACAGCTGGCCTGCCTCTGTCTGAAGGTAATAAAACTGTAAACAATCAATTCAATTTGGCTTCACTTATATAGCACCAAGTCTCAGCATAATCTCAAGACCTTATATCCATCCATCCATCATCTATACACCGCTTAATCCTCCCTAGGGTTGCAAGGGGGCTGGAGTCTATCCCAGCTGACTTAGGGCGAAAGCAGGAGACACCCTGGACAGGTCGCCAGTCTATCACAGGACTCAAGACCTTATAATATTATATTAAAGGGAGAAACCTGACAAATCCATCAGTTCCCTTTGAGCAGCTCTTTATCAACAATGGGGGGGAAAAAAAAGCAAAAAAAAAACTCCCTTTACAGGAACAAGGCTCCAACAGAACACTATTTAATTTGTGCACAACCACTCACATGCTACAGTTTTTCTTTCATGACGATTTATGTGCTGGAACACTTCCCTGACATCGTACTTGTTAGGTGGTGTTTTCCAGCCTGCTGACATACACTTCATACTGTGTATTAAAAACGTGGCAGAGGAAATGAGATTCTCATCAAACTCCCTTCAAGACAGGCAACAGGCTTTTCTAACTATTTCTTTACATGTTTACTGAGTGTTTAAATGAGCTTTTAGTGGAAACTCAAACATTGTACATTAGTGGATGTAACAAAGAAGTTCTGATTCATCCCGTCACTGTGCGTACCTTTCCATCAGGTCCAGCCTCAGCTGTCGACCGTGCGGCAGCGTCACCAGCTCCAGACCAGACGACACGCCCATCTGACCTTTAAGCTCTGGAGTCACTCCCAGTATCCTCGCAACCTGGAGGGCCAGAGACGTTTTACAAGGGTCTGGTGAACAGCTTTCACTGACATTTTATGTCATTTTTCTATCTGGTGTGTCCTTTAGGTGTAATATTTAGTTTCGTTGTTTCGCTTTGTTATGAGGATCATTTGACTGCAGCAGCAACATCAGGTGCAGGACGTAAATCGAATTCTCAGTGGAGCACGCTCACCCGCACACACACAGGATGTGAATGCAACAGCAGCAGTAAACACGTTTACATCCACATTTGACGCACATGTGTACATAATTAAATAACGGGTGAATAAGGCTGACTGTTATAGATTTACAATGGAAAGATGAAAAAACCAAGTTTCATTTCAGAAATGTCACAATGTGTTTAAGAGTCTTTCATATAGTTTGACCACCAGAGGGTCCTTATGTGCTCATTCAAGAGATCCTCATTAAAGCGTTTACTTTTGCATGTTTGAAGGTTTTATGTATCTTTTGTATCTTAACTGATGAAGCTAAACATCCAGAAATACAAACTGAACAGATTTTGGGAGGTCAAGATGCTAACGAGACATTAATTATGCACAAAAGCACCTCAGAAAAAATATAAAGTATAAAAGGTCATGCTACAGTGTTTGCTTTGGGAAATTTATTTTTAAAATTAAAATGTCCTTAATTCATGGTACCATTGGTTATTTAAAATTAGATTTCAACTTGTATTGATGGTATAAAATCAAAATTTGTGGATTTTTAAAAAAGCACTTAAAAATACAATAATATCAAATATGCTTTATTAATAAAATGTTTTATTTTTTCAATAAATAACAGATCAACTAAAATGATGTGTACTTTGTGTGATGATGTGCTTTAATAGAGACGTTAAAAATACCATAAGATAACAGCACAGAATGAAAACTGGTGTGTGTGTCCTTCTAATGTTGTGGAGACATTCATGCGTATACACAGTCATATTGTGGGTACCTGCTGAATATTTAGGGACTAAAACACAAGCCCACGTCACATAAATCACAGGTAAATCACAAGGTGAGAACTTGGTTTAAAATTAAGTTTAGACTGAGGTTAAGGTTAACATAAGCCTCCAGGAAAGTTAATATAAAAAGGCCCATTTGTGATGAGCAACAACAACACAATCAACAATCACCGTACTATGAATGCCAGTCAGATTTCTGTCCTCCAACCTGCTCATCATCCTGCACATGTCAGCAACAATAACCTGAGGAGATCAAGGCAGCTGCAGTTTTTTGGAACCTGGTGCTACAGTTGATCTCCACCGACTCACAACTAAACATCTAAAAAAACATCTAAACCTCTGCTAAGAGGGATGTAAGGATTCTAAAATCTAAAGCATCTACAAGGCATTTTTAAAGTAATGAGATCTTGCACTTCTTTCTACCGATTAGACTGTTGACTAATGTTTTGAGTTTATTTATGTAGTTTGAGAAGGATGTCTCAGCGGGGACATCACACTTTGCTCTGCTGATCAATATATAAACTGACATGATGTGGATTTACATGAGGAAAACAGAGGTTGATGTAGTTTTTCAGTAGGCCTTCTTGTCATAATTAGAACTCATGGAGACTGTGTACAAGCTGGTATGTGAGATGTTTCGTTAAATCAGGATCTGATCGACCAGGATGTGTGTTTTTGTGTTTTTCTGACAAACTGAAAGCAGCTGGAAACCGCCTGACTTTCTGCAGCTGCTGAATGCTCTTGTCTGCCATAATTCATCCTGAATGAGCCTGATGTCCTCTAAAGAGATGAGAACATGTGAGTGTGAGTGTACCTGGCAGTCGGCCATCAGCAGGTGTCTGGCGATACTGTGGTGATTGTGGCTGAGCAGCAGCTCCTTTGCTTTCTTCAGAACCACCATCTCCAGTGGTTTGTTTTCTGGTGGCAGAAGTCGAGATCCGAACTCTGCCGGCCTGAAGGTCGTTTCTGTCTCGATAATCGGCCGTTGAAAACTGCAGCTCTTTAGTTCGCTGCTCTCCTCCTCCCTCCCTGCGTCCTCTTCCTCCTCCTCGCTGGTGTTTTCTAAGGCTGCAATAGCGTGATGGTAGGAGCTTCTGTCCAGCCCTCTCCGTCCTCCCTCGTCATTCTCCTCCCTGTCCTCCTCTCCCCCTCTCTCCCCCTCTCTCTTCAGCCTCTCCACGTAGCTGCAGAGCGGCAGCTGCAGGTCATTGTTGTGGTCTGTGATGAGGTGTGGAGAGCTTGACTGCTGCCACTCCAGTGGGCTGCAGGACCTCAGGTCTGCAGGGCTCGGCTGCAGCCGTTCAGTCCGTCCGACTATCACCTCTGAATCAGGATACTGAACACTATCAGCAGGTGAAACTACAGAAGTGGAGGAGCTGTGGGAGTCTGCAGGGAGGAGCTGATGTTGGAACTTTGGAGGCTTCACTGGAGGAACTGGAGGACCTGTGGCAGCTGTGGATAACAATCACATCCATCTTTGTTTATTAGCATATTTAAAAACCTTCCATAAATATTACTGCAAATGTGCCATCTGCAGTTCCTGGACAGATGTTACATATCTAATAAAATACAGCGAACCTATGGCACATAAAAATAAAAGGCATAAACTTGTGACATCTCAGAAGGATTAAGGTCTAAAGGTAAAACACATAATACTTTACATGAACCTTTTTTTAAACTTAGTATCCATTGCAGTCAAACTGAAACACTCTGGCCAACTAATGAGAAGCAGCAACTGTCTCAGGGACCTTGAGGTATAATCGTGTCTTTATTTCATCAGAAGATGAGTGAGAAAACATTCAGCCTCCTCCTTAGTGCAATTTCAAATTCATGTCTGGACCTTTCATTACAAACTGTGGGGGGGTTTTCCAAGATAAAAACAAAAAAGCAGTTACCTCCACTCCTCCATGAAGAACCAGCAGTGTCCAGACATGTGGAGTCTAGAGGAGGTGTAGCGAGGCTGGGGGAGGTGGTGGAGGAGTCTGTGAGGCTGGAGGAGCTGGAGAGGGGAACCAAGGGCTGAAGGCAGGGGGAGCGAGCCAGTCGAGCCAGCGGCACTTTGCTGGGTTTGGGAGGCGGTTTAGGACAGAGCTGGCTGTCAGAGCCTCGGATCGCCTGGCCTGGAGGAACACAGAAGTCATGGAAGCTACACACATTATGTTTGAAAAGGTACATATGTATTTAATCCTTCAATGTGGCAACCCCGTGAAATTTGATTGAAAATTAGGTTTTGTTGTATTGAAGACAATATCATGTAAATTCTGAAAGAGTGAACAGTGCACAGCTCAGTCTGTCTCTTATTTACTATCTAATAATAAATCATCCACAGGGGAACAGATGTACATTTAATTTCCTATTTGCATTCAAGGAATGGCAGGAGCAAATAAGGAGAGTGCTTACACCTACACACTTAGGAGAGACAGCGACTGATTAATTTTAAATCTCCCACAGGGGATTTTATTGGCCCTTGGCGTGCAGAGCAGCTTTATTTTTAGCCTTATAATCAGACTCAATTGCCATTTTGTTTCACTTCATTTATTTCTAAACGAATTGAATGAATCAGAGATGTGTGCGGCAATGCAGAGGTCTGGAACAAGGCTACTTTATTTCATCCATGGGTAATAATCCTAAAAGCTGCAATGTGTGTGTTCTGTTTTAGATCAGCTAACAGATGCTGGAGGGATTCAAATAGAGCTGCACGGAAAACCATTCACTGCACATTTCCTCCACTATAGTTAATATTTTCATTAATTTACACGTGTAATTTGTTTTTACTCATTACTCTTGTTTTCTCTTGGTTTTCCTATTTGTCTTTCTACTTTTGTATCTCATGTGTCCTTTTCTATATATTTTCTGCACCTGTTCTTTACATTTTAATTTATTTATCGACTTTAGAGTTTAAATTCAGTCACCCTAAGCGATCACCCTCAGCCACAAGATATTCTACAGCAGTTCCTGAAGAACAGACAAACAATGCAGTCGCTGAGTAACCCAGTACATGTGTGATGATCTTTAGGTGGGGTTTTTTTTTTGATTATTTAATGAGCAGGTTAATAAATAGGTGACTACAGTGCTGGTTCTTGTCCTCCAAACTGTCTGCTTACCTGCTAGAGGTTCGACTGATCTCCGTGGGAAAGAGGGGCTCAGCACTGGCTCGCTTCCCGTCCGAAACACTGGAGACTTCGGGCTGGGGCTGGGGAGGAGCGCTTCAGGGGACTGCTGGGGCTGCGGTTTGGATCCTGGAGAGGAGGGGACAAGGAAGAAAGAAACAAAGAGATCCAAAAAGGAAAAGATGAGGTAGGGAAGAAAGCAAATCAGAGATAAAAAGTAACGTTTTTTAGATCTTACATTTGTGAGACTAATTGGTAAAAATCCTTTACAGCGCAATAAAGAGTGAATAAAGGCTTCGGCATTCTTCAAGCAACTTAGATTCATTGACGCGTCATCAAACATCTACATGAAGGTTTTTGCACCAGTTACGGATAATCACATATTTAAAGGTGGGGGAGGCCTGCCATCATACAGTGGAGTGATTACAAACCAGCTCACACTAAAGAGCTTGAGAAAGATTTAAAGTTTAAATCTAATTCCTTACACATGTGGTCAGATAACAAAGTCAGCAGCTGTCAGATGATCTCATAAAAAGCATACAAAATTTTTAGAATCTTTTACATACCTAGAGGTAGGAAACTCTCTGACTGGTGCGCCTTGAGCGGGCGTCGCCTTTCTTGAACTTGATTGAGACTTGCTGGTTGGCTTCCACAGCGATCCTTCAACCTGAGAGACAGAGGATGGTGAAAACATCAATGATCACAGCTAGATATGAACAGAGGAGAGGTGTAAGGAGAAATAAATCTAATCTATTTCAAATATAGGAATAAAATGTACAAATAGAAAAGAAAAACCAAGACATTAACACTACCCCTCTTTATTCCTTCTGCTTTTATTTTTCTTACAAAGCTTTTTCTCTTTCATATTTCCCCCTGTTTTTCTGCCTCTTAGTTCTGTTCTACTCTGGACCATGTATTTATTTTTTCCTCCCTCCTGCTCTGTCTTCTCCCAGACAGATATGGGCCCCATTCGTTATGTTTAATGTGTTCAAATGCAGTGTGAAATTGCACACTTCTGTTCCACTCAGAAGAAAAGTCATACACTCTCTCTTTATTTATAGAGGACTCCTGATACATATGGAACTCGCTGTATATACAACCTTCGGTCAGAATGATGAATGTAAACAGCTCGGGGCTGTGAGGTAAAAGCTTGAAAGTGTGGAGGGATTTTAAAGGGTTGATTTAAATGTGTGAGAGAGGAAGAGAAACAAAGAGAGAGAATGACTGAGTGAATGTAGGTCTCCATTATTTAAATTTAGCAGACAGCTTGTTATTTGGTGTGCAGTTCGGTAACAGGCCTGCATTGCCTGGAGCTAAAACGTACAACTGTCTTTAACACAGTATTAATCAAATCCGACAAACACACATCATTAGAGCCACGGAGGTTTTCAGTGTACCAACCTGAGCTGGTTGCCTCGGACCAAGCCGTTGTCCTGGGAGTGTGTGCTGTCGTGCACGGTGTGTGTATTGTCGTGTGTGTGTCCGTTGGTGATGTTGAGGCTGAGACGTTTCTGACTCCGCCTCTCCTGCGCCATCAGCCCAACCTCTCGATGATTGCTCGACAGTCCGTACTTTTCTTCCAGGCAGCGCAGCGGCAGCCCCCTGTTGATTGGCTGGAAGATGATGGCCCCCACCACCTTCAATGTGCAGATAGAAGAAGAGTTCAGATAAACTGACAACATGTGTTCTTTAATGCACTGATTACTGTCAGAAATGTGGTCAAAATTTGTATTTATCATTTGGCTGAAGTATAATTTTGGGATGTTTTTGGTGTGTTTGACACACACTACTTGCACAGTATCGATTAGCACAGCCTGCCCTTGCTTCAAAGAACGATTAGGAAAAAAAATCCTCAAACCCACCTGTGAGACAGGTTTTCTGTTGCCAACATAGTATCTAATGAGTGCAGGAACACTGTCAAATCCTTCTCTTTCGAGCCGGTACTCAACTCTGGAGTAAGCTTCATTCAGCATCACCACCTGAAAAAGAAGAAAAGAAGTTATTTGCTGGTTGTTATTTCAGTGCCGCTATAGTTGTATCAGGTGCTGCACTCACCGTAATGACAACGGATCTGCCATTTTACAGTTTGCATTTACTTTTTACTGTGTTCTTCAAATTTAGGCTTTGTCTGGCTGGATCCCACTAAGAAGAAACACCACCACAGCCTGCAGCCACAGACATCTGTAAGCTACCGTCAGTGCTGGCCGCTATAAAACTAAAGGGAGCTGCCTAATCTCATACAAGGCAAGATGTTTTGGTAAAATCAACCAGTGCCTAAACAACTGACAAGGACTTAATTAGGATGTCCATAAGTGCTCTCTGGTAGTGGTCGCTTAATGCAATAAAGAAATCATTACTGAGAGGATTGCTATGCTGGAGGGGAGTGAGACACAGCCCAAACGGCCATCAGTTCACCCCACTGAGTCAGTACATGCAGATGTACAGTAAACCTTAAAGACTGAACGATTTTGATGAGAAACACTGGCATATCTATGAGCAGTCAGTTGTTTTAAACCGCATATGAGTTTACCTTCTTGTTGATTTTAAAGTGCTGAGCAGCGTTTCGCCATTGGCAGGTCAGAACATAACTTCCTGGACTGGACAGCGAATCGCGGATCAAGAAATCTCCATCACGCTGCACCAGGTTTTCTGCAACCTGCAACACATCAGAAGGTTACATGTGGGTACACATGCACACACACAGTGGTTGTTTACAGTACAAACATTTCATTAAATCTAATAATGGTAGGCTGTTGCACTGTTACCATCTTTAAGAGCTCAGTACCAGCTGGGCCGTAGTTACATAAGACCTGAAGCTATTTAAACCCTCAATCTGTTACTATTTAACCAGTTAATAACATACATTTATGTTTTATGCTACAACAATAATATCATACAACTCTAAATGCAAAACTCAGCTGTCATTATCTAAGAACAGATGGGCACCCCGGTAGCCCAGCAGGTTAAGCAGGCGACCCATGTACAGGGGCTGAAAATCCCCGCCCCAGCGTCCACAGTCTGATCCGACCCATGGCTCATTTGCTGCATGTCCTTTCCCTACTCTTCTCCCCACGTTTTCTGTCTCTCTCTCTCCACTATTATCTATAATAAAGGCTAAAAAAAGGCTTAAAAAAAAAAAAACAGCAACAGATGACGACAAATGGATTACAGCTTATTGAATGAACACGTGATTAAAAGCAGAGACTTAATGTTTAATTTAGAAATGAATGGCGTTCAAATCTGACAGGTTAAAAACGAGCTGAATTTTTCTCTCTGTTTCCATGTCAGTTACGTTTACTGGCACTCTGCTCTCTCTGTCTTTCTGAAACACTTACACACAAGCCTTCATACAGGCTTTAATTAAGCTAGTGTTTGTATAGTATATAATGGTAGTTTAGTTCAGCCAAAGGAAGCAGCTTATTAAAAGCGATTACATCTCAGCGCTGGCTTTCAGAGGGAGCACACAATCTCTCTCTCTCTCACACACACACAGCACCATACAGAAAGAGGGCTTTCTATATGCTGACCTAATGTCACAACCCCAGCGCTGCTGCTGAGAAGCTACTATTTAAACTATAATCTTCCTGTGAGCCCTGTGTGTGGAGTATGGTTGTCTAATAATAGGTGATCCAGTTCAACAAGTTTTTAACCAGGCTTTAAAAGGGAGGGACTGATGACTCAGATTTGCATGTGTGTGTGAGGGTGTGTGTGTGTGTGTTACCTGTCTTGGAATTGCCCCGTGGTACCATGCGTGGCTTCGGGGCTCCTCGCAGTTCATCTTGAGCTCTTCCTCGAGTTCTCTGCGTAGTTTCTCTGAGGGACAGTCCAGGATGAACTGATCTCTGGAAAACTGCAAGAAAAACAGAAGGCAGGATTGATTGCTGTGTCCGGCATCACTGAAAAACACAGTGACATGGTCATCCATCCAAGCACATCTTTAATGACAGCTTATTGTAAATACTGAATATCATTTCAGTTTCTGGGCTGCAAGGTGGATCAATGGTTAGCACCGTTGCCTCGCAGCAAGAAGGTTGCCAGTTTGTGTCCCAGTGAGGACACCCGGGATCTTTCTGCGTGGAGTTTGCGTGTTCTCCCCGTGCAGCGTGGGTTCTCTCTGGGTTCTCTGGCTTCCTCCCACACAGTCCAAAAACATGTTGAAGTTTGTTGGTGTTTCTAAATTGTCCGTAGGTGTGAATGTGAGTGTGCTTGGTTGTCTGTCTCTAAGTGTGGCCCTGTGATAGACTGGTGACCTGTCCAGGGTGTCCCCTGCCTTCACCCTAAGTCAGCTGGGATAGACTCCAGCCCCCCACAGTCCTAGTGAGGATTAAGCGGTGTATAGATCATGGATGGATGGGCCTTCTGTTTCTCATTCCCTAAAACAAACAGTAATGAGGTCAAAGCTCAAAGACAAAGACATCTATCATGCATTTCTGCTCGATGCCTTCCTTCCTTTGACTCCAGTGGATCTAAATGGATACAAGACTAAAAAGGAAAAAAGAAAGCACGCAGCAGAAAGGGTAAAAGTACAACAAAAAAAAGAGTAGATAATGTAGAAGATGCAGAAGACTGATGTGATGTCTAGATTCAAAGTAAAGTCTTTGGTATTCTCGTTCATCCATTCATTGTGTCGCACAATTGACCCCAACATTTTTAGCTTTTAACCGCTTTAAATGATGCAGTGTGTAACTTGAGACTCTTCATCTTGTCTCATCACTGAATACATTGATCAAAGTGAAACATTTAAAAAAAATAATAAAACAAGATGTGTAATTGTATTGTATAATTGAAATCATTTTTCTTCCTGACTGTCTTGTTAATCATCTTGTGATGCCTTAGATTTTGTTGTGTGGCTGGAAACCACTCATGCAGCACTCGTAGTCAAACTAGAGTACAGCATTTACAGTATAAAAGCCAAATATACATTACTCAAAATTCAGTCACAATGCACAAATTTCCTGCAAACACTTTTCAGTTATGTATTTACCAATGATGCAAAAACAGTGTAATCATTCATAATTATATTTCAACCATTTTGCTCCTACTGCTGCTCCTCTTCTACTATTGTAACCATAACTACCACTGCTACAAAAATAATATAATAATAATTCTAACATCTTTTTTGTTTTTATACCACACACAGCAGGAAACTTTGAAACTGCTGCAACTCAAAGGCAAAGCATGAAACACAGCACATGTACCAAACTGAAATAACAGCTTTGTGAGTTATGCCCAAAACATCACCTGCTTGATGCATTTCGCTTCAAGATCATATAATAGATTTCTGGGCCAAATTATAAAACCAAACTGATTGAAGGTCACCCAAAACATGAGGCATTACCAAGCCAGGGTACCAGATGAGAAACAGATCTCACAGTGTAATCTAATTCAACACATCTAAATAATTGATCGCAAAGTTTAATTCCAACAGCAGAGCCCAGAAAGTTCAGAAAACTGAAGGACAAAAAGCTCAGGTAACACATCCAGACGGGAAGTTAAGTCAGCACAACCACCTGCACCACAACACACACACACCCCAAACACACTTACATGACAGCTGCTGGGTCTCTGCATCGTGAACTCTTCTTTTCTTCCTCAAACACGAACTTCACAGCAGACACACACAAAGTCACGCACGTGGTGGTTTTCTATCTCTGGTATTGAACAACTCACTTTTAAAACACACACAAGCCATTTTCCTTCAGACTCTCTCAAACAACATGCTCACACACAGTCTCTCTGTCGCCGTCCGCCTCCTCACTGATTTTCTCCTTTATCGCTTTCGCTCGTGGCTTCACCCTGTGCCACCTTATGTGACGTCGTCTTCCTGACACCACCCATCTGCCCGGACCTGCCTCCATACACACCCTCACCTGACGTACGTAAACACACACAGTGGGGTGACGCAAGCACCTTGCTCAACTTCTTAACCTGTTACTGAGAACTACAGCTGAATGTAGTCAACAGCTGGTATTGCCTTTTCTTATTCTACGATCATCATTGTGTTGTTGTGTTCTGTAAACATCAGCTTGAAGAAAATGTATGCAAAGAATATGTTCTGTAGCCCCACCATGTCAGAAAGTCCTGATTGTTTAACTGCCTGTATGGAGTAATTCCCCCTTTGCCAAAGGAAAGTATAGTCAATACACAGCACCTTTGAATTTGGTCTTTGATCTATATTTATATTGGTACTCTGCCAACAAAAAGGTTAATGAGTGATCCTATCCAGTGTTTCTGTATATCTGGCATCACGGTAGATAGTTCCTGCTCAGACACACAATATCCAAACTCATGTATTCATGTTCTCCTCCTATCAAACCGCTCACTGCAGCTCATATGAAATCTGTCCTCGTAATGTGTTGTCCTCTTTATGGTAAAACTTCAAGTACAGCCACATGTAAAAGAATTATACTCACTAGTGTCTCTTGTTCAATCATAATACAGCCACATGGAGATGAGAGAGAATTACTATATGTGGTACAACATTTTTTAAAAAGTGAACAATACATACAGTCGTCCTCAAATTTATTCATACCCTCCCATTGAAGAAGAAGAAGAAAAAAAAAAAAACAGCCGTCACTGAAATCAGTTGAAAATGATACAAGTAATAATAAATAAAAAATTAATGAAAATCCTGACACTGCTTTTGAATTGTGGTTCAACAGAAATGTATAAAAACAAACAAACAAGTAAACAAATATGATGGGACCCGTAAACTAATATTCTGTAGAACAACCCTTTGAGTCAATCACTGCAATCAAGTGTTTTCTGTAACTCTCAATCAGACTTCTGCGCCTGTTGACAGGTATTTAGATTTTGGCCACTGCTCATCAGCAAAGTGCTCTAATTTGTCCTGGACAGGTTTTTTTGCTTATTTATTTATTTTATTTTACTTTCAACGACAATTCAAAAGCAATGTCTTATTTCACTAAATTATAATTTAGCAAATTTTTATTTATTATTACTTCTTTCAGTTTCTAGTTATTTGAGTGACTATTGTGAATTATGCCTTTTCTTTAATGGAAGAGTATGAATACATTTGAGGACGACTGTACATATATTAAAGCCCAACACTGTGTGCTAAACGGTAACAGTTCAAAAAGGGGGACAACCCTGCTGAATCCAGTGCATAATTTGTAAGTTTCTACCACTGTGATACTATTACATTGTAATTTTGCAACAGGTTCTCTAACTGCGTCCTGCTAAAATCAGCTACTTCAATGCAGAGACCACAAAGCTTCCTGAGAACAGTGCACGTTAAATGTCGACATCTCTGCTTGAACACTTTGGTGCATACCTGCATGCATGAATGGGTTCAAGGCAGTCGAACAGCTCCAGTGGTGCTGACATTAACCACACAAACATATTTGAAAGGGAGCAACTGAGCCATGCGTATGTATGAAATTGGAAATATGTCAATAAGTGCACCCATGAAACTAAAACCGTGTGCTTCCTTTCATCTTTACACCACTCAGTGTTACTCTGTGGCTACTCCACTTCTCATTTTCATGTTTTCTGTTTTTCTATCTCTCTCTCTCTAAAGTCATTAGAATAGACCCCTCTGCCCTCAGTCTCCATGTCTCCATACATGACAGGAAATCAACATATCGTGTTACAGCTTCGACATAGAAAACAATGAAACTCATCACAGGCATTGCGTTTGTAGTTTGAACCACCAACCAGTGTAGCTTGACCGTTGTCGTGTGTTGGTGCAGCACTGGGGGCAGCAGAATTGAACCGTCCTTCAGTTGTACTCTGCAGCTACATTGATTTCACTGTATAGAGTCACGTTCTCCGTTCAGTATCATTGAGTCATAGTTGGCCATACTGACATCATTTTTTTTCCTGCTTTTCTAAACAAATGATTCAGCACATAAGAAAAATATTCTAATAACAGATAAAAAATCAAAATTAAATTTTCAGTAAAACCATCAGTAATTTTAAATGTTATTGGATCTTATTTGGAATGAAATGACTTATGAGGTGATTTGGCAGTATATAAACAAAAGAAAACTGAATTTAATTACTTTAACGGACTGGCATCTTTTCAATCTTGTGTTTTTTGTGTCATCTGGTAAACCTGGAAAATGGAATAATGTTTTTTGTGTGTATCAGAAGTCAAATAAAAACATTACCATGTGTTTGTATTTTTCATACTGAGGTAGATGATGTAATAAACAAGAAAACCAAAACCAAAAAAATCTGTCTAGTTTTTGTGATATATATTACCCTATTTGAATAATGCCTCCCTTGTGGCAGTAAACAAAATCACTCTGAAGCGTGGGAACACAGGTTCAACCTTTCTAATCCTTTTATAAAATCAGGAATTTCAAAATCAGAAACTTTAACCTCATCAGTAGAATATTAGGGTTCTGTGTTCTGCTCGAGGACACAACATGCTGCAGAAGGAGCTCAGGATCAACTTCCACCCTTCTATTTTTCACTACTTTGGGCAGAAAGAGGCAGAGAGGAGGAGAAAAACAGACTGTTTGAAATTAGAAGATGTCACAGCACCTTTATTTGGTTTCACTTTTTGCTTTTCATCTGTTTTTTCATTCTGTGTTGTGATGTGTTAAAAGCAGCATGTAACACCCATAACGCTTTGCCTGGCAGCATGCTTTTCCTGTTGTACTAGCATTGCACAACCATTTTAGACTGCACAACCTGAACAGGATGAACTGAAAACACAAGAGCTGGTTGGTAATAATCTCTGCCTATCAGGATTTGTTATTGATTACGTTCACATCTGTGACTGTTACACTTGTTACAACAGCCACGATAAAAGCTTTTACATCTGCAGCCAACAGGCTGATGAATGAAAGAGTGGGAGGGCTGAGAAGAGGGACGCATGGC